TTGCAAGAGGTTGCTTTCCTCAGCCCAGCCCTGCACACACCTCCCAGTGATGCCGCACGCTGTCGTGTAGTTGCCTCGTTCTACTGCAGAGGTGGCCGCGTTTTAGTGAAACGAAGCATATGCATCCACTGTGAGTCTCTTGGGCCTTCTGGTATGAAAAGCACTCTGGAAATAAAAAGGAAAAGGCATTACCTTCTTTTTTTTTCTTTTTTCTCAGTTGGGTGATGACTTTCAGAGAGCAAGGAAGGCCTCTTGCCTTTCACACCCAAGCGTGGATCTGAAGCACTGGCATTAATAAACCTTCCTTTGATTTTTTTTTTTTTTCTTGAAGTAAATATGTCAAGAGATGTCAGAATCAGGGAATTTGGCAAGATAGACTAGTTGTCTTTAGAGAGAGCTTGTTTTCTATTATTATTTCCCCCCCTGGGGAACAGCATCTTTGCGTCACCAGGAACAGCTGCATTTAACCAATATTTTGAAAGGAGATCGTGGGCTGACTCCGAGCAGGATTGCATCCGAGCAGATGTAACCAGAGGAACTCTTAAGAAACTATGCATTAGAAAGCATTAGGAAAAAATGTCTGTCTGTGACTATATATATATATATATGCATTGCTATCTCTAGAAATAGGCTTATGTCTATAGATAGCTATAGGTACAGATACACACACTTAAATAGGCACGCACGTCCATGCGCACACACATATATATGTCCATGTATGTTTGTTTAGGTGTGGAGTTTTCTCATTTTAGCCACTGTGGGATAATTATAAGATTGACCAAAGCAGCAAACAGAGGGCCCCAGAGAAAGTTTGTGTCTTTCGCTACCTTTTCCTGAGCCATATAAATAGGATTATTTCACAGAGAGCAGCACGGAAACTGCTTTCTGAAATGAGCAAAGTAGGCTAACGCCATCAGAGCCGGGACAATTAACAGCTCGTAACTGCCCAGTGAGCAATTGCTCTTGGGCTGTTTCTAAGGGAAAATTAGCACTGCTGAAGGACACTGGCTTGACAGCCCTGAAGATTGATGTCCTCTCTTTAGCCAGGCGAGCAGGTAGGCTGCAGCTAGCTATTGAAGTGTCTTTCCCCAAATACCTTGCAGATAGCATTAATCTTGCCAGTAACAACCATGTCTTGGACAAGGTCTGTAGAAGACAACTCTTTAGCAAGGGGTAGGAAGAAGATTTGTGGAAAGGTGTCTTAGCAGCACACCATGGGAAGATAAGACAGTTTTCTTCATGCCTTTGGGCAGTGCTGAAAGCCACCGTTACACCACAGTCTCTATATATTCTCTCATATTCTGCTTTTAAGATAACCCTTTGCCAGTGCAGCAGAGATGGTGGAAAACCTTGTTCCCCCACTCCTTCCCCAGGAAAGGTGCATGGGCATCTGTGATAGTTGGACCTTGGCTGGATGCCAGGGGCCACCAAGCCG